CAAGTCCGGTGAGTGCTTCCCCTCACTTGTGTTCTGGTTAGGGCACAGTGCTGTCATTTGGGGTCCCTGGGCAAGCCGTACCCATGCTGTGGTGTGTTCTGCATGGTCTAACCTCGCTGTCGCCCTCTTCCCTCATCTCCAGTGGGCACTGTGTCATAGATTTGCCAGCTCCAGGGATGCAGGAACGTGGTCTCTTGTGGCATATTCAGCTGGCAGGGCTTGAAATGTTGGGGTTACCTTACTCTGCCTGGCTCTTAGGAACACAGCAAAGACCGTTCTGGAACCAGTGTCCCTTGTCCCAGCTGCTCCAGCTGCTGGAGTGGTGTCTTCCCTGGACTCTGGCTGACTTGTGATGTGTGTCCTTCCCCCTCAGAGCCATGATGTATTCGGGAGAGCTGAAGTTTGAGAAGAGGACGACATCTGCCCAGGTGGAAGGAGGAGTGCATGGGCTCCACTCGTAAGTGCTGCCAGCAGGACCCCTGTCTCCCTGGGGTGGGTGTTGAGGGGGAGTTAAGTGCTGCCGTCCTGTGCCTCAGCTGCCGTGCTGCTGGCTTGGCACGCTGCTGCCTTCACCTGCCACTACGCAGCTGAGCTGAGCCCCAGCCTGTCGTCTGTCCTGGTCCAGCGCTCCTCTTGCAGTGGGACACGAGCAGACACACTGCTCACTTCCAGCGTGCCGGGGCTTTTCCCCACTGTGGGCTGCCAGGCCAGGAGCCATTCCTGACTGCGCCTTTGGTCCTTGCCCTGGGTGAGGTGGGTCAGTAAAAGGGCTCTCCGGTTTGCTGCTCCCCTCACAGGTATGAGAAGCGCCTCTTCTGAAGGAGGTCTGTCAGTGTCTGTCATCTTGCCATTCAGCCCTGCGCCACCCTGTGCGGGAGCTGCTCTTGCTGCAGAAGTGCCATTACTCTGTGGGCTGCCTGGAGCTCCCTGTGTCCCTTGGCTGCTTCATCACTACCCAAGAGGGTCCACCTGCCACCCAGAAGTGATCCTGGGCTGGCACCTGGAGCCTTCAACGCGTTGGCCGTGTTTTACAATAAAAGAGGAAAAGATGTGCAATTGGTGTCAGCCCGGAGCCCCTCTTCCTTCTGTACTACCCGTGTTCTTTGCTTCTTGGGCCCAGAAGGGACACTGCGTGTGAGGGGGAACGGGGAGGGGACAGCTCATTGACAGGGCTGAGCGGATAATGCAGTGTGGGGTGTTCAAAAAACCTTCCTGAGAGCAGAAAACAAGTGGCTACTGGGCAAGAAAGCAAATGGATTTTACAGGGCCATTAGCTACTGCTGGGAGCTGCCCAACCCAGCAGCAGCTGTCAGGCTGTGCCTGGTCCAGCTGGGGCAATAATCATGGAGGTGCGCTGTGTGTGTGTGTGTGTGTGTGTGTGCAGACCCAACCAGACACACACTCCCATGCCCCTGGAAATGCGCTGCAGCTGCTTACACACACCGGGACTGTATCTTCCCATGCTTGGGCCTCACCAATCCGCCTTTCTCCTTCTCTTTATTTCTTCTCCTCAACATCTGACACTGTCCCCCACAACCCCCAGGTGCACATCCCCACATCGCCCCAGCAGCTGCACCCCCTTGGCCTGGTGGGTGGTACACATCACGTGTGGGTGTCATGTACTGTTTGCCAGACTGTGTGGGCAATGAACTTGGAAGGGCATGGCTAAGAACTCACAGGCTTATAGAGGCACCGGGTTTTGTATTTCTGTGCTCCTGACCCAGTGCAAACCTCCCCTGCATGGCCAGGTTACCTCTGCTTGCAGCACGAGGTGCCAAAGGTATTTTACATGTGTATTTGTGTATCACACCCCCCACCCCCAATACATGCAAACATCACTCATGCTGAAGAGCGCATGTACCATCAGCGTTTTGTGTCTCTAATGGTGACTGGGGAAAAAAAAAAAATCACTCTGCAGCACAGCACTGTCAAATTAGATTTACACATGCTAAAACCAGAGCCTTGAATGACAATATAACTGGGTCAGTGTTTAACATTCATTAACACAGCTGGCTCATTACACAATGCGAGCCCAAGGCCTGGCTCAGGGCTGGGGACTGCAGCCACATATCCCTGCCTCAGGCCCATGGAGGTGGCAGGGTTTGCAGCGCAAAGCTGCAATTCGGTACCCACACCCCCTACCCCAGTGCCAGGGGTGGTCTGCATGACCATGAGCCAGTGCAAGGTGGGGGGGACAGGACAGTGACCCTCTCCGTGTCCCCTGCTTGAGCTCTGAGCCTGCAGGGAAATGGGGTGCAGTTCAAGGCGTGACAAGGGACACAGGTTCTGGAGGGTACAAAATCCTGCAGGAGAGCCCGGGGCAGGCCAGTGCCAGCTGGGACACACCAGTCGCTGGTGCCGGCTGTGCCCAGGGAGTTGCTGGCAGGTGGCACCCCTGGCACCACGCAGACTGCCCCGCTGCCCCCCACCCCACCAGCCTGACCAGCACCACAGTGGTGGCAAGCACGCACCCCATCGGTGTTACAGCCTCACTCTGCCATGCATTAACCACCACGCAATTGCTTTGTACTTCCAATTTACATATATTTCCCTTGTGGAGCTCCAAACGTGAGCAGGGGCGTGCAGCTCACCTCATCAACCTCTGCCCTGCCTCAAGGCAACGGCTTCTTACTGCCAAGGCACAGGGCACCACCTTGGCAGAACAGCACGGCTGCAGGTGCGGTGCTGCCAGCAATTGCTTATGCCTCATGCCATGCCCCGCAGCCCTCAGCCCGGACTGGGCAAGGAGGCTGAGAAGCCAGGGACTTTGGGGCAGAGACAAGCCTCCACATTTCACAACACCCTCCTGTGTGCAGAGCCACCACCCAGCCACAGCTGGTCTCCATTAGTCCGAAGCATTTCTCCACCTGGAAGGGTGATGCTCGGAGGCTTCTGGCAGGCAAGAGAAGAGCTGCTCAGCCCGCAGCCACCGCAGGCAGCACCTACACCCCTGTGTAGGTGCCCCGTGGAGGGATGAGCCCAGCAGCTGCCAAGCGCTTTTCACTTGTTAGGAAATTGAAGGTTGCACACGCATTTGGCTGTGAAATAGAAAAGGGAGGGAGTGAAGCCCCAGTCCTCCAGCAGGAGATACAGCCCTTCCCCATGGGGTACAAGATCCCCTCCTTCTGGCCAGTCCCCAGGCAGGCAGAGCCTTGGGGTGCAGGCAGGGGCTCCCAGTGCCACCACTCCCCCTGCACTGGGGTGCTGCCTGTGCACACCCCTCCTCACCGTGTCCTGCACCTCCACAGCAATCCCGCACTCCCGCATCTGCTTCAGTATGGTGGGGTGGAGCCGCTCCACCCTGTCTCCTGTGCCCAGCACCAGGATCTCTGCAACCAGGACACGACCACCGGTAAGGGTGAGCAGGGCCGTGCTCGGGCTGCCTCAGCCCAGACCTGCCTTCCCTGCAGGGACCAACAGCTCTCCCACCGTGGCCCAAATAAGGGTGGAGCCTGCCCTGCTGTGCCCCTCCTGCCCTGCTGTGCCCCTCCAGCTGCTAATGCAGAGCAGAAGGATGCCAGAGAGCAGCTCCTTCCCCGAAAGTGCCGTCAGGGTGCTGCAGGGTGGGCTGGGGCAGAGCTGTGCTGGCTCCAAGGGGCAGCCGGGCCCCAGCAGCCTGGCAGAGCTCAGGCGGCAGCTCAAGCGGGCTGTGGCAGCGCAGGGCCCCGGCCGCTCCACGTACCTATTTGGGGCTCCAGCAGCCGAAACAGCGATAGACTCTCATGCGAGATGTCCCTGTAGGCGCCACCC